TGTCTTGCCCAAGGACACAACGACAGCAGTCATCAGTGGGAGTTGGTGGAGAAGGTGGAGAGGTGGGAATTGAACCCACGACCTTCTGGGCTTAAGGCCAATGCTCTACCAACTGAGCTACTGTCGCCCCTATGCCAGAACTATTGGACATATTTTTAGTGGTAGGGGAAACCGGAGTACCCGGAGGAAACCAACGCAGACACGGGAGAGAGATGGGAGCGACGCACGGGGGAGGCACGGGGAAACATAAGTCCATGGTTCTGTCTACGCGCCTATGGTCCGCACTCGGTACCATGTGACGGATGTGCCTTTGCTGAGCTGTTGTAAAACGCGGCCACAGCTGCCCCGGGGCAGAGCGGAGGATGTGAATCCTGTTCAGAAATGGCATTATTCCTTTTCAGAAACGTCTCCATCACTTTCACTTCTCACGAGCCACATGCTCCTCGCTGCCTCTTACGTTTGTTGGTCGCATCCAATTCTTATGTTTCAAAGTACTTAGCTCTGTGCTGCCACCTACTGATCTGAAAAGGTACTACATGGTTACTCCACCGCTCAAAACAAGTCAGCGCTGAATGCATTTATTTTTAGATAAAGTAGGTACATTTCTTACGGCACACCGGACAATATCACTGGCCTAAGGAGGCTTATACAGTGGCTGAGTGGTTATCACTTTCGTTTCTCCGCAAGAAGGTCCTTGGTTCGAATCCCGGTTGGAACGAGTTTTTCAGCTGCAGTTGGCTCCTTTACAGACAGTACTTACAGTGGCACAGAACTCACTAAACTCTACTCTACAGGTTGTGTAATATGTTTCTTGTCGACTTTCGGGAAACGAGCCCATGTCCATTTCCACAGAGCCACAGTTTCCAGGACGCAGAGGGCCACGGAAACAGCAAAGAGATCTGTCAAAACAGTTCAAAAACTCACAAAACTTTGGATTCTCAACTATTTCTACAGGACGTAACGGGCAGCTTGGCTTTAGCTCGTAACACACAAGAAATAAACACAGGAACAAGTCTGGAATGATTTTAGGAGAGCCCAGGAACAATGGCTACCTATCTAGACTGAACTAGACTAGACTAGACTAAACCAGAGCCTTTAGCAGAGCAGTTGTGTGAGGGCTGTTTGTGGATGGACACCGCAGTCCTCCGTGTTCTCGCCACAAAAACAACAGTTTCTGAGCCCGACCACACGCTTTTACAATATTCATTTTAAAATAGTTGAGGGTCTGGATCGATGTCCTGAGCTGCCATCTCGCGTCTGATTGGACAGCTGAGCCATCAATCATAGGAAACAGGAAGTAGGAGGGGCTAAGGATCTGGGTCTACAGCCTCAGTCCTGGGTCTACAGCAGCCTCAGTCCTGGGTCTACAGCAGCCTCAGTCCTGGGTCTACAGCCTCAGTCCTGGGTCTACAGCCTCAGTCCTGGGTCTACAGCCTCAGTCCTGGGTCTACAGCCTCAGTCCTGGATCTACAGCCTCAGTCCTGGGTCTACAGCCTCAGTCCTGGGTCTACAGCCTCAGTCCTGGATCTACAGCCTCAGTCCTGGGTCTACAGCCTCAGTCCTGGGTCTACAGCCTCAGTCCTGGATCTACAGCCTCAGTCCTAGGTCTACAGCCTCAGTCCTGGGTCCACAGCCTCAGTCCTGGGTCTACAGCCTCAGTCCTGGGTCTACAGCCTCAGTCCTGGGTCCACAGCCTCAGTCCTGGGTCTACAGCCTCAGTCCTGGGTCTACAGCCTCAGTCCTGGGTCCACAGCCTCAGTCCTGGGTCCACAGCCTCAGTCCTAGGTCTACAGCCTCAGTCCTGGGTCTACAGCCTCAGTCCTGGGTCCACAGCCTCAGTCCTGGGTCTACAGCCTCAGTCCTGGGTCTAACAGCCTCAGTCCTGCATAATAAAGAAGCTAGTATAAATCTCTAGCTTTAGCCTCAGTCCTGGGTCCACAGCCTCAGTCCTGTAATAAAGAAGCTAGTCTAAAATCTCTAACTTTAGCATAATAAAGAAGCTAGTATTAAATCTCTAGCTTTAGCATAATAAAGAGTCTCTAAGTTTTGCTCTCTTCCTCTCTCTCCTGCTAGCTAACACGTGCTAACACACTCAGACGCTTGCCCTTTGAATGCTGTGGTATAGTTTATATATTTAGTGACCGGTGACAATCACGGACCATCAAGCTCAGACCTGACGCATTCTGTGTGGGGCCGCCCCGTGCCAGACACCGGCCCCGTAAACACCGCCGGAGACTGGGAGGGCCCTCGCCGTTCCATCAATGCAGATAGAAAAACATACAGGCACATTTAGGGAAACCTATTTGCAGAGGCCAAGTCGTATAACTATATAATGGATGCCCTCTGTAAGGCATTCCTCTGTGCGCGGGGCGGAGGGGAGTGGCTACACCGGCTTTTACGCAAGAACCAGCACAAACCGAGAGAGTTTTTACCCTCTCCATGGGCCTGTGCCCGGCCTCTAAACGTCTCCAAATCCAGCCCACAGCTTGCAACTATTAGG